GAGAAGGTTATGAAATAATGATTATTCCTCAAAGTTTTTCTTTTCTTGAATAAATAGCTGAAATATATATATAACCTAATCCTACAGTCATCAATCCTTAGATATAGACTGTAATTTATTAATCCCACTTCCCTCTTTTGTGTATAGTACTGTATACAGCAGTACAATATTACAATTCTTATGTACTGCATGCCAACTGTTGAGGATCATAAAACTGTTTTCACCAGGGGTGAACTGGGTTTCATGGGTTCACCCTGCCTAGAGGGGGCCTTGTACTCTACAGTTCGGCCTCTTTTGTATACTGTACTCTATAATGGAGGTGAGTTCTGGTTTTTCCATATTTCTTGCTGATTTATCCTTAGAAAATGAATTATCCAACATCTATACATTATTATTGACGTTTCTTGTTACTTCCTATAGTTTCAATCCCATGAAGTATTAAACCAATTATATGAAGATGAGATCATTTCTCAAATTGATTTTCAATGGAAAATTGCCAGTTTTTAGTCTGTTTTGGATTATATAATATTTTATAATCCATTGATAATGAAAAGCTGAGGCACATGCTTTATGTGGGAATACATTTTTATCCAAAATTTTCTGTGCAAAAATCAAGGCATTTGGTCCTCAAATAAATGCTGGTATTTTTGCCATTACAGGTTAAAGTAAGGAAATGCACCAGGTTTCAGAGAAAATAATCATGCTTCACAAAGAGCAGTGCACAGATCTCGTACTGAATTGTTATCCCCACAATTTCATGTTTTTAGACAACAGTGAAAATGTATTGGTTTGCAATTTTTGAAAATATTTGTTGAATAAGTTTCTTGAATTGCTTCAGACAATTAGGAGAGAAGTATCATTGAAATCAATATCAGAGACACATATCAACCCAAGAAATGATTTATTCTACCACAAAAAAGTTTCATACCTGGTTCCAAATACCTGCAAGAAATTATTTTCTCCTTGGGATACAAGTTTGAAGAGAATTAATGTTTTCATGAATTGGTATTTTGATGAAAATGGAATGAGTTTGTCCATATCTTCCTGATCTACAGAGCATTTCATGATGTTATGATATGCTGCTGTATCAGATACAGTATGTCAGAATAATTATTAATGATTAAGTAATCTGCCATCAATACAGTACATATTTTCAGAAGCCTTTTGAAAATAAGATTTAATTCAATGTGGATAATGCATCAAAACTACTGAAGTTACAAAGGATGTGATAGAAGAGAAGGAAGTCTATATACAGTGAGACCCCCAGATGCGGACATAATTGGTGCATCAAGAGTGTCCCTATGTCGGATTGTCCCCAAGTCGAATCTTGTTTTCCCACAGACTTACATTGTATAATTTTTAATTGGTGTTTTATGGAAGAAATATATGAAGAGTGTCCCTATGTCGGATTGTCCCCAAGTCGAATCTTGTTTTCCCACAGACTTACATTGTATAATTTTTAATTGGTGTTTTATGGAAGAAATATTCTTCAGAATTTCATGAACAAAATGTTTGCCACTTGAATTTGATTCAATGAATATATTTTCAAACCAATAAGAACATTTGGAACATTGAACAAATAGTGTACCTCTGTACAGTAAATTGAAAAATTGGCATCTGGAAAAATAACATCCATGTCACAAAGAGAGCTGGAAGGAAGTCCCTCTGTGCTAAGGGCATTTTTTAAATTAGCTGAATGGATGGGAAAATGATGGGAAAAGTACCAAAGCATTTTTCTTGCATAGATTTCAGGTTGAAAACATCTGTTTCTTGCAATTAAGCCTTATAAAAATCAATTTTCCTAAAATTTATTTTGGANAAACATCTGTTTCTTGCAATTAAGCCTTATAAAAATCAATTTTCCTAAAATTTATTTTGGAATTTTATCCTGCAATGTCCCCAGGTTGAGTCAGTGTCCTCATGTTGGGTCTTTTTTATGATTTTTTTGAAAAATAAATGTCCCCATGTCAAAACGTCCCCATGTTGAGGCGTCCGCATGTGGGGGTCTCACTGTACTCTAGACTCTGGGTCCAGTGAATGGGTTATGGCATAAAAAGCTACAGTTAATGACATAAACAGATGGTAAAATATCATGGAAATCTGAGAAACACAAATAGCAGACAAGTATATTTGGACTATCTTGCTGAATAAAAGCATAACTACCAAATCTTTTTTAGAAAACTCCAGTAAACAATTTTTAAATGTCTTTGTGCATCTCCCTTTCTTTGGAAGATTCATTTAGATTATGAAGGGGGATTGAATGCCGATTGTTCCATTGAGTTTCCCACATTTGTGCAAATGTTATCTATCCCACATCCACATGAAATGAAATTCAGTAAATGTTGGTGGAGGAGGAGTGGGGTTTGGAAAGGTTGTAACTACAGCATTGAAAATCGCTCCCTCTAACGTCCTCTTTTCAGAAACCAATAGCCCACAACAGTTTTAATTGCCTAGTGTAATTTTTTCTTTTCAGGAGCAAATGGCACCAATCAAGAATTTTAAAAATGCTGTTCTCTGAGGGTCTTTCTAAAATATCTAAAAGGCACTGTACATTATTTTAAATGTATATATAGTTTATTCAGTATACCAAGAACTTATGTGTTTTCAAATGCAGATAAGGATCAATAATGCAACATTTTTTCAATGCTTCATATTTCAAGCACCTTCTATTTAAAACAGAAATTACTTCCACTCTATATGCCCAGGTAATAAAAATGCATTAATACAAATTTCTCATGAAATAGCAAGAATAAAACATAAAGAATGCTGCAAGTTCATGTATTGAATAATATGTTATCTTCCTACACCGTTCTTCAACATGTAATTCCCATCTGGAAGCATGTGCAGTTCATGAAGTCACTCATTCATCGCATTGAGGGATGGAGTGGAAGGGAACAGCCCTCTAGGGGGGCAGGGTGGAAGTGAGTGGCGTTGTTTTTGAAAGTGTACCAGAATGTCCGGGCATCCGGCATGCTATTGAAAGTATTACGTGCCTATTTGTTTTGAGTGTTGGAAGGAAACACTGTGTGCAAGTTCACAACCTCTGGGGACAGAAGTACGTCGATGTGCCGGGAAAATCTCCCTTTTCTCCTGAGCGTAACCTGCTTGGTCGATGTGCGCCAACTACTCCGCATTTATTTCAAATATCATTATTTATGTGTTGCAGATACTGTGAAAGTCAGTGTCATGGTCCTGCTGGAACATGATGCATTCCTTGTTCGTCTCACGGGTTTCTTTCTCAAGTCGCGCTCTGATGGCACCGGTGTGGTTCGACTCTCTATGAAGCGTTACGATGGTCGAACAAAGCCTCAACCGCGCAAGCCAAATGCTAAACGAGATGCCAAGAACAAGAAAAAGGATTCCAAAAGACCCGCTCCGCAACCGGCTTCAACGGATGTTGAAATGAAGTCTGTCGAATTTTCTTGCCTCTTCCACGCCCAGCTCGGATCTAAGAAGGTCTCTACCATCGTCCCCGCAAAAGACGTGGAGAAGTTCCAGCAAGCATATTGCAGTATCATCAAGGGAAATATGGATTCCTTCAAGAAATATCGGAAAAAGCCAACAACGACGACTGCCGATGCCTCCGCGAAACGAGAACCTGAAAGCCCAAAGAAATTGCCCCAGAAAACTTGAGAACTCCGTTGCGAGCTTTGATTTTCTTCTGCGATCACCCTTTATGCATAGGTGATCCCATTTTCCTGCTGTGTTCTCTCATGTTGAAGAATTGCAGGAACCGCGTGACGGATGAGTGATGAGATCGTTTCGGAAGAGCGGAAATGTATAATTTTTGACCGGAGTTCGGGTGCAATTATTGAGAGTGCCCTTGTTGAGGGAGGTTCCGCTTGCACTTGAATGGCTTCACAAAAGATAGACATTATAACGTGAGAAAGATGTTCCGTCTCTTCGTGTGATTAAATTCTGAGGACGAGTATAACGTATGACATAATCCCAGGGAAATTCTCTTTAAAAGCATAATCCCGGAGTAATCGTGCAACTTTAAAGCCTGATCATATAATCTTTGCCCGTAAAATCTGAAAATGCTTTTGGAAATCTAGTCTGAGTGAGAATTGGAGTATCCAAGATCGCTTTCTAAGATTACTGTGGTGTTCTGCTTCTATGTTTCTATTGTTTAACCCCCATCTTGAAGAAGACAGTGAAATTTGGTAAGTTACTTTTGTTTGGGTTAGGTGAAGTTGATAAGATTAAGAAGTTGATACAATATTAGGTTAGTTTAATTTAATCCTATCGTCTTTGGAATGTTCTTCATATGGTTTGATTGAATTATCCCAGTGTTGAGTTGGGTTACCACAGTTTCCTGTTAATTGATTCGAGTTGGGTAACTGCGAGATTGGGTTAAATTCGATTCAAGATAACTTCAGTTACGACAAGTTAGTGAAGTACGAGTGAAGCCCCGGTTAACCTAATTATTTTGTTTCTGTGGGAATCATGTTGTCCAAATAATGTGAAGGTTTATGGTACAGTATTCCAATATTTTCCAGATCATTAAAATATTTTTGTAGTGTATTACGTCAATCTAACGTGAAATAAAATTATGATCCTGATCGTGTTCTGAACATTTCACTGTGTTCCTGAATATTCTGCAAGTATTCTGAGAAGATTACATTCGAACCTCAACAAATGAAGTTCATAGTCGTAGAGAAACCATGAAAAATGCGTTTTGAAGCGCACATCGAAGCACTTTCATCGAATGCGAAAAAAAGTTTGCTGGGAACCACATTTGCCTCAGCAAATGAAATTTTCCTTTGAATGAAGGTCGTATCAAAGTTTGTCTTCTGAACTTGGGTCTGCCATGCGAAGCAAAAATCAATTCCAGTACAAGTTTTGCGCAGACGAGTCTTGAATTTTCGTGTTGCCAATTAGGATGCCCTTATAAATTCCACTTCATGATTTTCCGAAATTTTATGAGTACAGTGAATGAACCGACTGGGGATGATCAGTTGCAAGCGGAACGGACGCGTCTTTGGTGGACGGGTTGTTGTAATCATTTGGTGATCTTTTCCAGATGAATTTCCTTAGCCAAATGTGTTCATGGGGACCTCGTGTCCATGGCGGAATGACTAATCCTGTTGTGCCTATTGTTATGCAGCAACGTTTTGCTGCAAGGAAAGGTACCCGTGAGAGGAAAAGAAAATTGCACAAAAAGAAAGTAATCGAGAAAACTGATTGGGTTTCTCCTCGTGAACGTCGTGCAATGATGTGAGAAATCTAGAATTGAATATTCTGAAAATCTTGAACGATCAGTTTTTTTTTTTTGCTTTGTTTTTGAAGGGAAATGGAGATGAAGGGAGCCTCTGCTCGTTTGCGGGACAAGAATAACTGGCCGCCGGTCGACGACGTTTTCCGCCAACTCTACTACAAGCGCATTAAATGGACAGAAGTTTCAGATGCTACTACATTTTTTCGTCAATATTTCCACCCTACTACTCGGAACGAACCGAATTCGCTGCTTTCTGCGTACATCGAATTGGACCTGCGATTACCGAAAAGGGTCAGTAACCGTTCATTCATCTTTAAGCATATTACGTTGAGGAAAAGGAATTCAATATATTGTGAAGTATTTCACATCTGATTACCTGGAAAACTCTGGTGCCCGAGTCATTTGCTTCTTGGTGTTCATGACTGGTGCATTACATTTTCAATTTCGAAGTTGTGTGCCGAATCGCGTGCTTGTGGAACTTTTTCAATATTCATGATATTCGAAGTGTTTCTGACATCTTCTTGCGGGAAATTACATCAACCACTCGCGGGGAAAAATTCCAAATTCTGTTAATGAAACTTCAACTTCGCGTGCAGTGCATTTCAATCTTTTTTATTGAAAGAAATCGGTTGAATTTTGCCGAACGTGAAGATTTTGGTGCACTTGAAATTTTTTCCCGTGATAATTGAAGCAGTTCCCCTTGAAATTTGTAGTGGTAATGTTCGAAAGAACCCCGTCATCGGGGTTTAATCTCAGAAAATTGTTGTTGCAATATCAGAGTGCCGTAGCAATTCATGTACCTCTCGTCAAAAATACGGTATTTCGGGAAATATTTTTTGTCAAATGACTGCATTGAAGTCTGTATCAAAGAGATATACAGTACTGTACAACCACTAGATTTTGTCGAAGGTGGATTCCCTCTACAACGAATATCAACGGACCGGGAAAAAATGCGTTGTAGAGATAATTTTATCGCCGGAAAGCCCTATAGTAACAGTAACATGGGTTGAGAATTTTATGGGACCAAGCAAAATTTTTTTAAGCCGAGAAAATCTTTGTGAAGAGATTGTATTTTTGTTTTGCAGTCGGCCAATGCGATGCAGCGCTATCTAGATCCATTTGGTGACATCGTCAACTTGCCAGTTTCGTTCGAGTCGCCTGTAACGAAAGAACGATCTGTGATTGCATTTGCCAAGTCGCCGGAAGCCCAAGAAGCCGCCGTGGAAGGCGGCGCCGCCTCTTCCGGAGGTATTTCTCTAATCAAGGACGTGCAGAGCGGAGAACGAGACCTGAACGATTTTGCGTATTTTATCGCACATCCGGACATTGCCATTGAACTGGCGTCTTTGCGTGGTGTCATGAAGAAGAAATTCCCGTCCACCAAGAATGGTGAGCTGTTTGTTTCCTTGGTGGTGGTGGGGTTATTGATTGAATTTCGCTCAATTTCCAACCCGAGGGAAGTACACCTGATTACGCGAAAAGTGTCAGTGATTGGAGTTCGGTTGATTTCAGAAAACGTGTGCAATTTAAATGTGTAAATTCATCCTGGCTCCTGAAAGTGTCGAAAAATTTTCTTCAGCTCTTCGGATCCGCCGCACGAGTGAAAGTTTTGTATGTCCATTTGATGGCTTGAAATTGCTTCCCCGAGGTATTGAATTTAATCGTAAGAAGTGATCAAAGGTGCACTTACACTTCTATGCTCTTTTTTTTTTTTACTTTGTTGGCTGAAATCAGGTAATGTACTCTGTTACTTCTTCCCCTTGACTGCTATTCGAGTGGACAGTCCTGCATTTTTTTTCTTTTGCACAAACATTTTTTTAATCGGATCAGAATGTGATGACTGATTTTTTTTGTGTATGCTTGAAAAAAAAAAAATGGGGCCTCAGCATGATGTTTTTTTTTTTTAATTTATAGGTGCCCTGAACGCGGATTTGAAGCTTGCCGCGATGAAATTTTCTCGAGGACTTGAGTATCAGGTTTTGAAGAGCAACAGGGAACCTGACTTGGGAGTCTTGAACCTTCCCATCGGACGAGTAAGGTTTTTTCTTTTTTTGAAATTTGAATGCAGTGTGAGTGTTTATTTGTGGTTATGGAACAGTAATTCATTCTTTGTGATACGAGGGGTTATTTTCATAAGTATTTTCGGTCTTACCCTTCCCATGATTGAATATGTTCCAAGATGGCTGAGGAGTTTTAAGAGTAACCCTCGATCGTTTCTTGATTTCTCCTCAAACAGGTGAACTTGGAGGTGTTGGTCGAGCTAATGTTTACTCTTCGCGATTGAATATCTCATTAATGGACATCCAGCTTCATTTTTTTATGAGGATAGTGTGTCCTCTGGTTCGGCTGGAGTCTGACAGTAATTTTGACGTGCAAAAATTGTACAGCGGGTCTCGTCGCGAAACCAATCTATATAAATGTTTCTTGCTGCGAATCACGCATTCCCTTGAAAACGCATCAAGAAAATTGTTTTTTGTTCTCAAGATTTTGAATTCAGTGGTGAAAAGGTTAAGATAGGTACAAGCTACATTTATTTTTCACAGTATTGGTTAAAAGCAGGTGATCTAAGCTGTTTCTTCTTTCTTGTGTTTTAAATGAAGTCCGATTTAGAGCTGATCTTCACTTTTACCGTCACCAGATGTCGCCACTCAACAAGATGTTCTCTGCCATTTTTTTTGGTACATGCTTGCTAAAATGGGTTGAAAAGCTGAAAAATACTTGAAATAACACAGATATCAAGAGTTTATAGCCGAAAAAAGTTTGGAATCTTAAATTCTAATCGCCGCGCATTGGAAGCGGAATTTCGTGATTCGGGACATTTTCGTTGGGCGAATACATTTTTTGTTTGTGCCCAAAAATGTGTGTAATGCGAAATTTTTCGTTGTACGGGTCGTTCGTTATGCGGGGACTTACTTCATTTTCCTCCTGATCGTGTTTGTGGCTTCGGGTATTTTTTTCTTTTATTTTTATGAGCAAATTTTTCAGCATTTAAAATTGACATTTTCGTTATGCGAGTATATTTCTCGATGGAAAAAATTGCTGAATGCGAAATTCGCCTTTTACGGGTTGTTCGCTATGCGAGGGATTATTTCATTTTCTTCCTAGTCATATTATTTTTTTTTTACTCAGAAATGTTTTTTTCTTGGAATATGTAGCAACATTTTCTGCATTCAAAATTGAAGCTTGTCAAGAAGAAAAATGTTTAGCTCAGTGTTTCGTTTCCCCGCAGTTACTCCTTGGCGATGACGAAATCGAAGCGAATCTTCGCACGATCCTCAACAGCATTCTCCGGTTCAAGCCCGAAGATTCCAAGCGAGTCGGAGCTCTGCCGATCACCTGGCCTTTCATCAACCATGTCCTGATTGAGTGCCAGCCCTGTCGGGAAACCTTCAAACTGGACCACGATCGCTTCTCGACACTCGGAGCCTTTGGCAAGACTGACAATGCTGACAACAACAACAGCAGCAGCAGTGATTCCAGCGATGACGAGAGTGACGTTAAGGTCGAGGCTGAGGCGAAAATCTGATGGTGTTCGTTTCAGAGTTCAGTTGAGGGTTCCTCCTTGTTAGAGCTGTCATTTTTTAGTTCCCTGTTGGTGCGAAAAATGCCACGTGATTTTCTGGTTCTCCTGTCGAGTACGTGGGACTCTTTTTCTTGTTCTACAGTAAGTGTGCATTGAGAAAAGTAAAAATGTGTTAATTTTTGAATGTTGACTCCTATGTGCGGATCATTTTGGAGGTCAACACCAGCTGAGGGACAAATTGGGTGAATAATTTATTGAAGAATGAGTTATTGAAGTTTTAATTTTACTGTAAATTATTTGAGTACTATTGTAATACAGTAAGTTGCAAATCATGTTAAAGACATTGTTTTGAATTGAGCTTTGGAGAGTGTTAGTTGACTTAGTGGTACAAACAGAAGCAGTGTAAGGTTGGCATATGCAGTAATAAAAAGAGGTATGGCCCTGATAAAGGTGAAGAAGCTCAGTAGTATTTTTGAACTTAACAAAGCAACTAACATTATCTTGAACCTCACTAACTTTGTCCCTAACAGAGCTGAACTAAGAGGTCTTACTTCATCACCAAGCCCACCAATGCTCTACTAAACTAACCTTAGTTGACTGTCCTAACCTACCCTAAACCTTGACCAACTAACCCAACCTGGCACCTCCAACTTGACCTAACTCAGCAGTTACAACTCGTACCAACCCAAAGCTTCTAACTTTAACTAAGTCAACATTTATAACCTGTACCAACACTGCTACGTGGTTATCCTGATCATCTTGTGACTTGTAAAACATGAAAAATTAAGAACTGAGCCCTCAACTAATTTGCTAAAATATAGTATTCCTCTGTTTCTGTGATCATGTGGCATTCTATAAGTTTCTACTGCGAGGGTCGGATGCCATATCATCTTATTTATGCAGTATCATTCATTTAAAATCGATAGTGTGCTTTAGAATGGGAGATCATTATTTTAGAGTGCAAGTTAAAAACATTAAAATGTACATATCCTATGCTTCCCCCTTTTAACTTAAATTTATTTTCTCCATAGCTCAGAAACTTCAAAACAGTAATTTTTGAATTTAGCTACAGTAATGTATAACTTATTTTTGGGATAAGTCTCATGTTAACAATGCAGTTTGAAGAATACTGTCATGACTTTACTGAATAAGCTAACCTAACTAATTTGCACTTGTTGGACTAACTCATCCAATCCACACTAACAAAACTAACATTGCTAATACAAAAATTCATTGAGCACCATTTCATAAGGTTAATATTTGGGAAATGTGTACATTAATTTAGTTGCATTAATGTATAACTTATTTTTTTGGGTAATGCAGCCTCAAAATGGCGCACTAAATCTTTCTGATTAAGCTAACCTAATTGATTCACACTAGTTAAACTAACCTATTAAATTCATGCTAACCAAACTAGCATAACTAATGCACAATTTTAACAGAGCACCATTGCATGAGTTTTATTTTATTTATTTTTAATTTGGAAACAAAATGACACCCGTCTTATGTAACTTAATCTACTATACTTAAGTAGCTTTACCTACTGCCTAAGTAACTTCACTTGGTACCTAAGTAACCCTAGCTACTGTCTAAGTAACCTGACCTCCCAACTTTATGACCTAACCTGGTACTCATCTGGATAATTCCGATATAAGTTGACAAGTGGGCGCATGGAATTTGACAGCTTCAGCAAGGAAGAACCCGATTTAGTGCAATTGGATGAAAAGTGCGTGTTTTTGAAGTTGCTCAGTGCCCCTCATACAGAGGATGCTGCGTTTGTATATTGTAAACGTTTGAAGGAATACCGTGTGTAATGAAAATTCAGTGGGTTCCCGATTCCAAACAAGGCGATTTTTATCATTGAAGGGCAGGGCATCGATTCCGACGGGTCCTTTTTTCATCCCCCTCCATCCGAGTCTCATTTCTGTGCGAGGCGAAGAATCCACGAGGATCTTTTTTTTTTTTCCTTTCCACCATGCTGGGCAAGAAGAATTTGTTGCTTTCTTTGGTGCTTTTGTCTGTGTGCGTGACGCAAACGTCCAGCAGGATTTTCGCCTTTTTCGAAATCGACTACTTGAACGATACTGTGGAATTGTCGCCGGGCCAGATCATGTTTGCCGGGTTGTTCATGCTCGGGACTGCGATTGCCAACGTGTTCCAGTGGCTGCCTGTGAACCTGAGCCCAGTTCTGGGGCCGTTCACCGGCAGAAGGAATGGGTTGTTTTTGTTGTCCAAGGAAGACCTGGCCCAGGCTGGGGACTGGGCCTTTGTCAAGAGTCTCCCCAGGATCCTGGACTCTGATTTTTCGAGGATGACCAAGAATTACTGGATCTTTGGAAGGGTGAGTTTGATTGACTGATGGACTGATGTACAATAAGTTTTATTTGCTGCTTATTGTCAGTTGGCACAATGTTCAAAAGAAAAAATGTTCCCCACATCCCAATGAAAAAATATTTCCCTGTATGGTTATTGAAAGAAAATACATCATAGTAAATTCAACCTTTTTTTGGATGACAGAAATAAAAGAAAATCACAGCACATTCTAATTATGGTGAGCATAAATTAAAACACAAAAAGTGTTCAGCCTGAAGCCACATAATTTTTAATTAAATGAAAAAAGTTAGAGGGAATCTTTGTGGAGAAATCAAGTAAAGCTAACAGTTTTTTCCTGGTCCAGTCTAAGATGTGGGAAATGAAGTTTTTATCAAGTTATTGTGAGAATACTAAGTCTTATAAAAATGCAATCCTGTTGCTGTGGAATGCTGGACATGAGAAAAGAAGGTGATGCAGTAACCAATATATTTACACTGCAGTAATTGCACTGCCAAGACATTCTTGAAAAGTTTATGAACTTTTTATTAAAATGTCACAAGTGTTTTTAATTTAGCTACAGTATCATATGCCAAAGAACTATTATAAGATATAAAAATCAATGGCTTTGTTTTACCACAAGTAAGGAATAAGGTGGTAAATTAGCAAACAACAATGTAGTTGAACTTTTGTTTCTTGTACTGTACTGGAAATGTAAGAATTTCAGAGCAATAGGAGGAAAAACTTGTCAGGACTACATTCTTGTCATATTGATAATTTTTGTATTTACAATTTTGTATTGTAAACTAGCAGAAATATGGTTTTTTCATGTTTATTCTTCTATTTCTGGAGCAGTGTTCCCCAACCTGTGGTCTGCAGACCAGCACCAGTCTGCAGAAGCTTTCTGCTGGAAATTTTCAGCATAATAAATTTATAGAGTTGGGATGAAGTCTGTTCTTTTCACCGGAAATTTCAGGCCAGTGGCAGTTGAATTATCTGATGGATGAAAACAAAAGTTGGCTTTTATCCTGATAACAATTCATAAAAAATTTCACCTGCTGAAATAAATTATTTTAATTTTTCATTCTGAGATACCTTTTTCCAAGCCCACCTTTCTAATTGTTGGATGATATTCTTGACTGTTTTTTTTTTTCTTGCATCTACCTGCCAAATAGCATTTCAAGCAAAACTTTGGCAAGTTTGCAAAAAATTCATGAAACTTTGCCAGCCTGCAGAATTTGTTGTTGGTATTTTTCAGTCTGCCGGCCCA